TCATATATAAGTAATTGTGGCTGTGTTCCAATAAAATTAATAGATGGGTACTAAAATTCAAATTTCACACAGTTTTCATGTCACAAGACATTCTTCTTTTATTTTTTCTACCATTAAAAATTGTAAAGACTATTTTTAGTTCAAAGGACATAAAAAAATAGACTGATTTGGTTTACCAATGTAGTTGCTAACCATGGAGTGGACTGCTGCTAAAGGCCCATGCATAAATGTGAGTGTATAAATTAGTTGGTTGACTGTTATAAGGTTGCTTTTTGAGGTGCAATCTCCCCGGTTCTCTACCCTGCTATATGGTCAAGCAGGTTCCCTTACTGTCTAGTTGCTGGTTGGTGGCTTACCACAGAGGTATGATGGGAATGAATTTCCTATAGTCACAAGGCAGATATAGATGAAGACCCAATACACTATAAGGTTTGTAGAGTTTGCATGTTAATGTATCTTTAACTAACTACATGTTTCATGCTAGATAGAACACTGGTAGAAAAAAAGTAGAACTCCAAGGCAGGGAATTGGGACATTTGAGCAGATATGGATAAAACTAAGAATGCTGAACCTTTAGTCTCCCTTAATCTTCCTTGCTTGTGAAGGCAGCCTTTATTGAAGCACCTGGGAGCACCATTAATAATCTGATTAACTGGAAGTTTGAAGCCTAGACTCAATTGTGGCCTATAGTCAATAAAACTGAAATGCTACAATCTTTCCAAGTATACTGTATGGAAAGGGATCCTAAGGCTCAGAAGAATAGAGTTCTTCTATTGTTGTGGAAATGACTATATTATATGTAATCTGATCTGTCTCCATCTGGAAGGGTCAAAGAAGATTCTTTACCAAGGTATTCAGAAATACCATTGGAATTAGGCTCTCTGATTTCAATGTGAATACTGTAATTCTCTTGAATTGTAGAGTCCAAGATCATATTTTACAACTAGAGAAAGGTAAAAGTATGACAATAAGCCACAATATGGGGTAAATTCAGAATGTTTTGACTTGTCCACATCTGTGATGATGATTAATTGAACACAGGACCTTTAGGAATTATCTATGCCATACTTTCCTAGAAAATATGGATATTTAGTAGGAAACTTCTGGTTCTTATGGGTACAAATTTAACTTAATTTCCCATGCTGTCAACAGATTAATGCTGTCAATTCTCGGACTCATGCCTGTTCCTAGACCAAACTTCCTTGAGGGGAAGACAAGCTGTCTTTGAGAAAGAAACATGCAATATGATCAAAGGTGTATAGTATGATATCTTGTGCAAGCTTTCTTCATTCAGTGGGACCTGTGTTCATTTACTAGGTCACTGAGAACTGGGGAAAGACAAATTTCCAGCCTTTCTGGAGCTGTTAGATACTAGTTATATGATCATCTCTGGTTATAGTGGAAGCTTATACTGTTTTCTTATTTTTTGAATTAAAAAAATGTGATAAAATACATATAAAAATGTATCATTTTAAGCATTTTTATGTGCATAGTTCAGTGGCAAAATGTATATTCATATTCACATTGATGTACAATCATCACTACCATTCCATTTCTAGAATTACTTATTTTCCCAAACCAAAACTCTTTACCCTTTAAATAATAACCCTTTCTGAAAGCCCACAATCCTATTATGTGACTATAAATTTAATTTCTCTAGGTACCTCATTAAATGGAATCATACAATAAGCTAGACCTTTTGTGTCTAGCTTATTTCACTTTGCATGGTGTCTTAAGGTTAATTCTTATGGTAGCATATGTTAAAAATACCCTTTTAGGGGTAGGGGTAGGAATGTAATTAAGTGGTAGAGTACTTGCCTGGCATGTGTGAGGCCCTGGGTTTGATCCCTATTACTTTAAAAAATGAAAATTAAACAAACCCCCCCAAAACAAAATTTCCTTTTTAAAGCTGAATAATATTCCACTGTATAACTTATTCACTCCACTGTTGATGAACTTCTAATTCTTTTAACATTTTGATTATTTGAATAATACTGCTAAAATATTGATATAAAATTATCTTTTTATGATAGATATGTTAATTTCCTTCACTATCATAATCTATTATTTATATGTATCACATGTCATCATTTGTATACTTTAAATATTCACAATCAAATTTATTTTAAAAAATATTTTAAGTCACTGATTTCAATTCTTTTAAATATATACCCAACAGTGGAATTGCTAGATAATATAGTAACTCTATGTTTAAGTTTTGAGAGATTGCCTTATTGTCTTTTACTGTGTTACACATTTTTACATTTCCAGTAACAATGCTTTAGGGTTCAAATTTCTCCACATCCTCACCAACACTTGTTATTTTCTTTTCTTGGATCTTCAGCCTGATTCTGTAAGCAATCCGGTTTCCAGCCTATAATTTGTTGTCAACTTAAATTAGATTCGATTTTTATTTGCAACCAAAGAGGCCTGGCTGATATCCAGAGTTGGAATTGGGTTTTTAAAAATATATTTTTTCAGTTGTCAATAGATCTTATTTTATTTATTTATATGTGGGGCTGAGAATCGAACTCAGTGACTCACACGTACCAGGCATGCCCTCTACCACTGAGCCAACACCCCAGCCCAGGAATTGGGTTTTAAAATGAAAAAAAAAATCTCATATCTGAAATTAAATTCCCTTATCCTTTTCTGTTCTAGCTAGCCAGTGTTTTGATTTTATACATGAGCCTTCACCCACACAAACAATAAAACTAGTGAGGCAAATTCAAGGAAAAAGGCAGAGAGTAGCATTGAAGACAATCAGCATCTTATTTGCATTAATTTAGTATTTTCTATAATGATTTTCTCTTATCCACTAAATTACTATACTTTAAGTATTTCCTCACTATTGAAGAAGGATGTACAGTCCCATAGAAAATGTCTACTTTCTTGCTAGAAACTAGCAGTAGATAATAGTTGCTACTCTGTATTTTTTTGTAAGAGAAAACGACTCATAATTTTACAATGCAAACTGATGTTTTTGTTCTAAAGAACTGCCTTTCCTTCAGGTACCACATAATGACAGAAACAAATTGTTACACACACAGAAATAACTATTAAATAATCTGACAAAAAAAATCATTACTTTGATGTGTCATTAGTGTTTTGACTAATATTTCATATAATAAATATATGAAATTCTGACTAAATATATGTATGTAAGATAATGATTTCTACTATCGACTTCTGGGGTGAATATCTGAATTAGTAATACTTTAGCTAGAGTATAAATTATTTCCTATTACTATTGACAAATAAGCTAACTGATGACCAATTTAATAAATTAACAAAGTAATTAAATAAATTTATTTGAATTTATCACTTATCTCTACGATTAATGTGTGGATCAGCAAGAAACATAACATATTTTCAAATGTGGTTTTTCTTGTTTGGATTCTCAAAGTCTTATTCAAAGCAATATGAAAAGATTCATGGTAAAATTTCCCAGTAAAATATAATCTACTAAAAATATAAACTCTCAGACCAACCCAAAGAGTTTTGTTGTTGTATTTTTAAAATATAATTTCATTGTAAGACTATCATAAGGTGAGCCTGAAGAGTGGCATGAAGACCAGGATCTCAAATGAAAGTCCTCTTTAACTAGATAGATGCTACTGGCAGAAGCTTATAGAATATCTAATTTAATTAACTTCATCCTGGTCACCAAAATTATCTAGGCTATAACCTGATGCTCTGACATATTTCCTCTAAGACAAACAGAATCGTGTTAAGATTTCTTTAAAATATTAGACTTTTCAGATAGAATCTGAGTAGACATTTATTGGTGAAATAACTAAATTGATTAGATCACAGTTTCATTGTTTTTTGTTCTTGTTTTTAAACAGATGAGATAACCATACTGAAAGAAGAATATTACTTTGGCTTGAGTTTAGTACACCACCATGCAAGATTTGAATAAACTAGGATTTATTGTTTAAGAACAGAAACCAATATATAACTATATCCAAACATTGGGAATGTAAAAGGATAAATTTTACTGAGTTCTTGAATGTATATAGTTAATTCTTCTAATGTTTCAAGTGAAAACAAAACCTGGGATAAAAAACAAAATCTGGGTGGGAGGGAATGGAAGGGAAAAGCGGAATTGCATGGAAGATGGAAGGAGACCCTCATCGTTATACAATCATATATGATGATGAGAGGGGGAAGAAAAAAAAAAGAGAAATGTGTCACAATAGATTGGGAAGAGAGAGGTGAGGGGAGGGGAGGGGAGTGGGGGATAGGAAGGGCAGCAGAATACAATAGACACTAGTATTGCTGTGTGCATATATGTGGCTGTATAACCAATGTGATCCTGCAATTTGTACATATGGAAAAATGAGAATTCATACCCCATTTGAATCAAATGTATGATTTGTCAAGATCATTGTATTGTCATAAACAACTAATTAAAAAAATCGGGATTCGGTTATCAATCGGAAAGAGGAAAAATGGCTAAGTGAAGATGGTTTTAAAATTTCTGATCAAATAAATAAGGCAGAAATTTACATAAAACAAGTGTGAATCCATATAATTATTTCACCCCTAGATGAACACTGAGAAAATATTTACAACAGTTCTTGAAAATATCAGGGCTGTAAAAGTAAAGGGAAAATGATTTTTGGCAGAACTCACTTGGAGTTACTGCCAAGATGTAAATGTTCCAAAAGTGGCTTAGGACATTTGATGAACTCAAAGCATAGCCACGTTGTGTAGCCCTAAAATTTATTTTCTTTATAGTTCTTTATAAAAGAAGTTTTATACACATAAAAATGTATAAATTATTATTATGAGTAATTAGATTTAAAATAACCAAGATAATATATCCACTGGCATTCCTGGGAATCATAAATATAATTTCAAAATAACTATTAAAGAAATGATTGGCTTAATCTGAGCCAATGCCAATGCCAAGAAAGGGCCCAAATATCTATGGTCTAGCAAGGAGACACTTATGCATTAACAGTCAAGAACAAAAAGATATTCATACTACTTACAGGAAGTCCCTGTTTTCCTGGTAGCCCAACTTTTCCAGGGTTTCCTGAAATGCCATCTGCTCCATGGTATCCGCGAATTCCTTTTGGCCCAGGAAGGCCTGGAAATCCCTTGATAATTAAAACATTACTTGTATTATAAAGAGATTCAGGACAGATGTTTCAATGACAAATACTTTTGTACTTATTAGGTTTGGGGCATAAGTTTACACTTGTATACCTTGTGCCAGAACAATTTTTTTTTCTGTTTTCTGGATTTCTTAATGATTTACAATTTGGATTCAATAGATAGCTGTCTTTAAAAGTTCCCTAAACAAACAAACAAACAAACAAACAAAACCAAGGTAATCAGCAATTTTTGTATGACCTTCTGAGCCTTAGTGTAATCTCTGATATTTCTCATCCTGCCAGTCCATGCTTTATCTAGCTGTCAAGAAAAGGTCAGCTATGTGTACTTGTCAGCTTAGGATGTAGGATGTCAGTCACCATCTGCAAAACCTTCCACTGTTATTTTCTCAAGGAACAAATCATGGCTGTCTTTGTTGCCCTTTAAATCAGATAATTACATGACTGAAGAAAGGTCTGAACATTTTGTTTCTACTCTTGGACAACTGGGTTTTCTGTAGGCATCTCTAATTTGAATGTATTTATAATTTATCCTCATCTTCTCTACTTTTTTGAACCAAGTAGGTAACACAAAGCAGGCAGCTTGGAGACAACAGAAGGAAGTCTTTGCTAATAAACTAGTCATCTCACATTTGCCTGGCCAGAGGAGGAAACTGATGCTAAGGTTAAAATTGATTTTTGTTCTGTGATTAAAAAAAAAAAATCAGAAAAAAAATTCAAAGTTTTTTTTTGTTATATTTACCAGGAGAATGAAATGCCAACTTCTCTAGTTAAAACCTAGCTCAGATCTTTTTAATTATGCTTGAAGATCTCTGATCTTTGTTATAATTAATTTATTCATGATTTTAAGTTCCCTGTTTTTCTAGTAGTTCACCATGATGCAGGAGAAGGCTACATAACACAGGAAAAGAACATTCCTCATTTGCAGAGATTTATATTTAAACAGCAAGTATGGTTTTGAGTTAGTGGTCATATTTTGTTCCTTGTGTGTTCCAGCATGGGTTTAAATTTTTTTTCCAAGACAATCTGATTTATCCAACATGACATAAATGGCCCCAAACTTTTCTGCTTGCTAAAGTTGTCAATTTTATTTTAAAAAACAGGAAAGATAAAAGAGGCCTGTTACTTACAGGAATGCCATGTTTCCCAGAAGGACCGGGAGCTCCTTTTCTTCCCTGAGAACCCTAAAAATGGAAAGCACAATTGTCAATTGATGGTAATAAACTTACTTAAAATGAAGCCACAGAAAAGAACGCTGAGACCTGGATGCTACAGCAAGTACTGCTACTAAATTGTACATTACTCAAATTTCTGCTTACCTTCCCTGGGAGCTAGTTTCTTCATCTGAAAATGAGTGAATTTGATCATACCACCTATGAATTTTCTTTTAGCCACAAATTCTATGAACTTTAAAACTAAAATCATAGTTAATAACGGAGGAACTTAAAACATAATTTTACAAGTAAAAGTCCCCACTTCCAGGCAGAGCCTTTATTCCCTTTTGAAAAAAGCTAAATTCAGTAATCATTTCTGAAGTATCATGTTTCATGGACTCTATTATGTGCTAGGCATGCAAAGGCAAACTTTCTGATAACAAGGCACTTATGCTATAGTGAGGGGCATGAACCAATAGCCTAAAATGTACTTCTCTGGAAGCCCAAAGAACATACTTGCAAATCAAGGAACAGATATCTGTTTCCCATGGAACTGTTTGTTTTTCCATGTGTGAGCTGTTTTAAATCATAATTGATTCAGCAGTAACTGGTCTGCCAGGATAGTTAGGAACTTTGCCCTTGCAAATCATTCCATTGTTCTGATGATATCCCAGAATTATTTTAAGAAGAAAAATATGGAAAAGAGTGATCCAGTATACAAAAAGAAAAAGAATTATTGTCATTATTAGATACACTTCTCAGAAATCATCAAAAGTTCTCACAAACAGGATAATTTTACCTGGGATGTTAAGTTTTTAAAAGTAAAAGAAAAATTGTGCCAAAGAGTCAACTTAACAATTATAGGCACACATAAAGAAAACCAATTTAAGTTGTTATATTTTCTGAAAATGAATTTAGACATTTTAGAAGAAACAGTATATATTATCACAAAGGAAAACAGCTTTTTCTATATGAAATTAGAAACCCAACTTTTAAAAAATTTGATAATGAGGAGATATATCCATCAAGTATTCTACTTTCAGCCTTGAAAAATTTTATTTGCCTTAAAAATCAGTAATGCAATCTTTCTAAGGGTAGGGAAACCAGAAAATGGGTTACTGGTGACCTAGGTTTAGTTGAAGTATATAGGATTTCTGGAAAATATGGTACTTAGAGTTAAATATGTCTTTCAGAAAACAATAAAGAAATAAAATAAGCAAATACTTTAAACATATTGAAAAAGTTCTTATTTCAATAACATTTAATGGTACGAATGATGGTAATATTTAAATATGTTAACCAGCATGTTTTTCCTTCACAGCATTTCTTTTTATGCAAACAGATAAATATGTCCTAGACTTGATTTTCAAAATAGAATTGTGCTTGGATGATGAATTTTCAAAATGGTCCAGTGAAATCCACGGTTTGGGTAATAGTTTGATAAAAATATAATTTCAGTTTCAAACTGAGCTTTTAAAATACAAAAGCCTAATTCTTAAATATTAATAGTCTACCGTTTAGTGTTTAAAAAAGGGTTATAAAGAACTCAAGTCATAAAATTCATGCCATAAGCAATAGACTAAGAATAATTATAAAAATATAAGAATTTTTCCTTTGTAAGAGAATATAAAAATATTCAAATTTGAAAAAGGGAAAAAGAGAAACAGAAGAGAACTAAGACTGTTAGACACTGACAGGGACCATGAGCAGAACCCTTTGTTCCATCCTGCCCTCAAGCCTTGGGGTAGATAGAGACAATAATATTTGTAGATTATTTTGGGGGTCTGGGCACAAAGATGATACCCAGGGCTACTAAAATCTTTATTGAGAATTCCACATAGAGTGCACTAATAGTGACACATATAGTGTCAGCAACACATTTCTTCATGAGATGAGTAAAACAGAGGAATATCTCTCTGAGATCCCCAAACACCTAACATTATGGAAGGAGCAACAGAGTGTTATTTCCTTGTGGCCAAGAATAGAAGGGTGTGGCTCTGAGAGCCCTATCTGAGGAGGCCTTGCTTTAGACTAAGATGAAAAATAGCTGTGCATGCAGACATGGGTCAGAGAACTTCTGCCAGGAGGGTCAGGGTAGCTGCCAACACAATGGGATAAGGGCAATTAGGGGTCAAAAGGGATGATGTACATTTCAGTGGATGCTACTGTGAATGGATGATAACAGAAGATTAAGGTTACCTCTCACGCCTTTTCCCTACCATTTCAACTCTGAATGTTACTACAAACTTGAGAAGAAAGTAAATGGGGATATTCCAAATCAAATGCTACATATTTGAGTAGGCAGAGTTAATAGCAGTTGATTGATTTGATTTCTACTAGTCAGGTTTCTACTATCAGGTAGAAGGAACACTCAGAACAGATGTTAAGTTTCCATTATAAAGAATACAAAGGAAATTATCCTTTTAGTATATCACAGATATATGCATCTTATTACAAACATTCAAATAATAAAATGAAGATAAAAAATTCACATATTATTACAAATCAATTACATTTTGGCAGGATCCTTATGTTGGAGATAATTTCAGAAGAGTTAAATATTGTGCTCTGAAATCTACATCTGTGGGCCAATCATCATTAAAAAAACAATGCTATTCAGACTTGGAGCAGCTTATAATAGAATAATGCTAAAGAACACTGTAAATATGAGAAATATTTTAAAAGTGTATTTTGCTAATGATAGCAAGGCAATTATGGCAATATCTATCCGTGAACACTAGGAGTATTTAACCCATAACAAGACTATGGTCTCAGCTGTTCCATTCAGGAAGAGTGCCTTATTACAACTGTTACCATAACAAACAGAAAGTAGGATGGCAAGAAACACCAGTCTTACAATGGAGGGTTAAGTACATATAGATCAATAAAATATAAAACACTTACTGTGATGGGCTAAATGTCTGGTGCCCTGCAAATTCACGTGTTGAAATCCTAACCCTAATGGCACAGTCTAATGGTATTAGAATGTTAGGCCTTTGGGAGGTGATGAGGTCTTGAGATTAGAACCCTAGTAAATGGGATTTGCATCCTTATAAAAGGGACTTCAGAGAGCTCTTTAGACTTCTTTATACCATGCAATGATATGATCAAGAGTTGGCCTCCCAACTATGAGGAATGCCATTGGGATTTTGATCGGAATTACATTAAATCTGTACAGTGCTTTTGGTAGTATAGTAATTTTTACAATATTAATTCTGCCTATCCAAGAACAACGTAGAACTTTCAATATTCTAAGGTCTTCTTTAATTTCTTTCTTTAGAATCCTGTAGTTTTCATTGTAGAGGTCTTTCACCTCTTCCATTAAGTTGATTCCTAGGTATTATTATTATTTTTTTAGGTATTGTAAATGGGGTAGTTTTCCTCATTTCCCTTTCAGAGTACTTGTCACTGATGTGCCATTGAAATGCCTTTGATTTATGGATGTTGTTTTTATATCTTGCTACTTTGCTGAATTCGTTTACTAGTTATTAAAGTTTTCTGGTGGAAATTTTTGGGTCTTCTAGTTATAGAATCATATCATCTGCAAATAGTGCTAATTTGAGTTCTTCTTTTCCTGTCCATATCCCTTTAATTTCTTTCATTAGACTAATTGCTCTGGCCAGTGTTTCAAGAACTATGTTATATAGAAGTGATGAAAGAAGGTATCCTGTCTTGTTTCAGTTTTTAGGGGAAATGCTTTCAATTTTTCTCCATTTAGAATGTGTTGGCCTGGGGTTTAGCATAGATAGCTTTCACAGTGTTCAGATATGTTCCTGTTATCCATAGTTTTTCTAGTGTTTTGAACATGAAGGGGTGCTGTATTTTGTCAAATGCTTTTTATATATCTATTGAGATGATCATATGATTTTTATCTTTAAGTCTATTGATGTGATGAATTACACTTACTGATTTCCATATGTTGAACCAACCTTGCATCCCTGGGATGCACCCCAGTTGATCATGGTGAACTATCTTTCTGATATGTTTTTGTATTCAATTTGCCAGAATTTTATTGAGAATTTTTGCATCTATGTTCATTAGAGATAGATATTGGTCTAAAGTTTTCTTTCTTTGATGTATCTTTGCCTGTTTTTGGAATCAGGGTGAAACTGGCCTCATAGAATGGGTTTGGAAGTGCTCTCTTTTTCTATTTCACAAAATAATTTGAGAAGTATTGGTATTAGTTATTTGTTAAAAGTCTTATAGAATTCAGCTGTGTACATATCCAGTCCTGGGCTTATCTTGATTAGTAGGCTTCTGATGGCATCTTCGATTTCATCATTTGAAATTCATCTGTTTAAATTGTGTATATCATCCTGATTCAATTTAGGCAAATCATATGACTCTAGAAATTTTTCGATGCTTTCGATATTTTGTATTTTATTGGAGTGCAAGTTTTCAAAATAATCTCTAATTATCTTTTGTATTTCTGTAATCTGTTGTGATAGTTGTGATATTTCCTTTTTTATCACTTATGTAATTTGAGTTTTCTCTCTCTTTCTCTTCATTAGCATGGCTAAGAGTTTGTCAATTTTATTTATTTTTTCAAAGAACCAACATTTGGGGGGTAAATTTTTTCAATTGCTTCTTTTGTTTCAATTTGATTTCAGCTCTGATTTTAAATATTTCCTGTCTTCTACTAATTTTGATGTTGATTTATTCTTCTTTTTCTAGGGATTTGAGATATAATGTTAGGTTGCTTATTTGTTGACTTTTTCTTTTTTTAAGGAATGAACTCCATATAATGAACTTTCCTCTTAGAACTGCCTGCATAGTGACCCAGAGATTTCGGTATGTTGCATCAGTGTTTTCATTTACTTCTAAGATTTTTTAAATCTCCTCTTTCATGTTTTTTGCACTCCATTGTTCATTCAGTAGCATATTATTTAATCTCCAGGTGTTGAAGTAGCTTTTATTTTTTATTTTATCATTGTTTTCTAGTTTCATTCCATTATGATTTGATAGAGTGTAGGGTAATATCTCTACTTTTTGTATTTGCTAAGGGTTGCTTTGTGGCATAATATATAGTCTATTTTAGAGAAGGATCCTTGTGCTGCTGATAATGTGTATTTGCTCCTTGAAGGATGATATATTCTACATATGTCAGATAAGTCTAGGTTATTGATTGTATTATTGAGTTCTATATTTCCTTTGTTCAGTTTTGTTTAGAAGATCTATCAAGTGGTGAAAGAGGTATATTAAAGTCACTCAGAATTAATGTATTGTGGTCTACTTGACTCTTGAACTTGAGAAGAGTTTGTCTGATGAACGCAGATGCTCCATAGTTTGGGGCATATATATTTATAATTGTTATGTTTTGTTGATGTATGGTTCTTTTTAGGAGTTTAAAATGTCCTTCTTTATCCTTTTTTTTGATTAAGTTTAGCTTCAAGTCTACTTTATTTGATATGAGGATGGAAACCTCTGCTTGCTTCTGCAGTCCATGTGAATGGTATGATTTTTCCCAACCTTTCACCCTCAGTCTGTGGATGCCTTTTCCTATGAGTCTCTTGGAGGCAGCATATTACTGAGTCATCATCTTCTTCTTCTTCTTTTTTTTAATCCAACCTGCTAGTCTATGTCTTTTGATTGGTAAGTTTAGGCCGTTAACAGTCAGGGATATTATTGAGACGTGATTTGTATTCCTAGTCATTTTTGTTTATTTTTGGTATTTAACTTCACTTGGCTTCTTCTTTGATTGGTTTTCCCCTTAGTGTAAAACCTCTCTTTGCTGATTTTCATCAGTTTTTCATTTCCTCTTTGTGGAATATTTTACCGAAGATGTTCTGTAATGCAGGCTTTCTAGTTGTAAATTATTTTAACTTCAAATATAAAGCTTACTTTTTCTGGATATAAGATTCTTGATTGGCATCCATTTTCTTTCAGAGCTTGTTGTTGTTGTTCCAGGATCTCCTGGCTTTGACTGTCTGGGTTGAATAATCTGCTGAAATACAAATTGGTCTTCCCCTACATGTGATCTGATTCCTCTCTCTTGCAGCCTTTAAGATTCTATCCTTCTTCTGTATATTAGGCATTTTCATTATAATGTACCTTGGTATATATCTGTTGTAATTTTGTATATTTGGTATCCTGTAAGCCACTTGTATTTGATTTTCCAATTCATCTTCATGCTTGGGAAATTTTCCTATATTATCTCATTGAAGAGATTGTGCATTCCTTTGGTTTGAAACACTGTGCTTTCCTCAACCCCAATTAACTTTTAGATTTGTTTTTTTTTGATGCTATCCCATAATTCTTGGATGTTCTGTTCATGGTTTATTTCTGTTTTCACTGTGTAGTCAACTTTATTTTCCAGATTGTATACTTTGTCTTCATTATCTGATATTCTTTCTTCCAAGTGATCTAGTATGTTGGTATTGCTTTCTATTGAGTTTTTAAATTTGGTTTATTGTTTCCTTCATTTCAAGGATTTCTGTCTTTTTTTTTAAGAGTCTCTACCTCTTTCTTGAAGTAATCTTTTGCTACCTGTATTTGCTCTCTTATCTCTTTGTTGAATTGATCAATTTTTGCCTATATTTGTTCATTGAGGTCATTCTTTAATTCACAGATCATTTCAATTATGAACATTATGAACTCCTTCTCTGACATTTCATTAACTTTGCTGTTCATGGGTTCTGTTATTGTAGTATCCTAGTTTGTTTGGGGTACTTTCCTCCCTTGTTTTTTCATGTTGTCTAAGTGTCTTTCTCTCTTGCAGTGTGGATCTGAGACATTATAGTTTCTACCCTATATTCCTGTAGTATCTGTGCAGATTATCTGTACTTCACCTTGACGTTGGGCTTCCAGACTGTGCAGGTATCCCTACATATATGCTACTTCAACTAAAGGGTGACAGCAACAGTGGAGATATATTGAGATAGCATGGAGGTGTCTCAAGATGGATGCAACATCTTTCAGAGATGGGGCTGAAAGGGTGGACCTTACACCATCTTTGGAATGCCTGCTCTGAAATGCAGTTGATTTTAGACCCTGTCTGTTGTTGAAAGATAGAGGCTACTGTGTGGGGAAGGCTATGGTGATGTCTGCAGTGGGTTAGGCCTGGACTCCCAAGTGTGTATGTGTGGGTGGACTCATGACCCTGGGTCCTGTGCTATAGCCTGAGGTTCAGTGGATGTCTGCCAGTGGCGGAATGAACTCGGGCCTACCTAGGCCTCGGTCCTGTGCAGGTTGGTTTAAGAGCATTTTTAATGTGCCCTTCGGCTGTATGGCAGCATTGCCCAGCTCCAGCACCCAGGGAGAGCTGATCATGCAGACTAGAGAAGTAGTTGTTAGGGAAGAAAATTTGATTTTCACTGGCATAATTTTAAAAGATACTAATAAGAATCAGAGAATTTCTTCTTCATAACATGTCAGAAAGGAAAAGGAAAACATTACATATATGAAAGTATTAATTATAAGTAGACATTTTAGGATCAAACTATAGAGAGCACCTGCATTCTTATGCACCTATTGCAAATATAAGGGAGTGACATAACAGAAGTAGCAGTGTTCTAGTTTTAGTTTTTTTCTATGACTTTTTCCATTTTAGAATTTTAAAACTCTAAATAAATATGGCCACAGTCTTCTTTTTCTGATTTTTTTCTTATTCAGGCTTGTCTTTAGTGGGATACTTTTATTAAATATTTATTAATTCTCATTTATTAAGGAACTGGACAGGAAGTTACTGGTTAGATTTCAAGACTATTCTGAAAGGTTTCTAGGTTTGTGAATGCCTATTCAATATATCTGATTGAATCCCATTTTATTACTTTCTCCTATAAGTGGAAAACACAAGTTTAAGTGAAGACTGCTTAACAAATCCGAAGAAACATGATGAAGAAAATAAAGAAAATTCATTATTTTAAATTTATTCTCACCTAATTTATTATTAAATTAGAGCGCATTTTCTTAAGAATTTAATTTTAAAGCAATTGCATATGAAGTTAGAACTCCATGAAAATCAAGGAGCAATGAATCGATGGTGCCAATGAAAAAGCCAGGTGTTACAAAATGTTTAGGCAATGTCTGTGAGGGCACAGGGAAAGGGAGGCTAAATTCAGTTTAAGTAATGGATTTTTAGTTTGCTTTATTACAAATAATTGATGTGTCTTATGGTAAAAATCTTTTGAATCAATTTTGTATTTGTGTTATATAATCAAACTATTATTTAACTCTTACCCTTTGATAAAGATTGATTGGCCAGATTTTAGTCAGACTCCTGAACCTTCTCTCAGGCCCCCCTATTCACTTCCTTATAAAATTCTGTTTTCATGGGGCTGGGGTTGTGGCTCAGTGGTAGAGCACACACCTTGCATGTGTGAGGCACTGGGTTTGACCCTCAGCACCACATAAAAATAAATAAAGAAAATAAAGGTATTGTGTGCATCTACATACACACACACACACGTATACACACACACATAAAAACACACATATAAAATTCAATTTTCGCAAAGAAACCTGCTGGTCAATTTAGCAAGTTCCCCCTCCCACCTTCAATATCTGATCACCCTTGATACATAATCAGGTGTCATTCTCCACCATCCTGCAAATGTTGTCTGATCATGCTAGTCTGTCTTCAGCAAGAATGCTATTAGGTTGGTTTAGCCAGAATCCCCCTTCTCATGATGTTTCCTCTTAGTAATTTTCCATTCACTGACCTCTCACCTTGTTGTTTGGCTATAAATTCCTACTTGTTAGTGGTGTATTCAGAGTTGAGCCCAGTCTGTGTACCCCACTGCAAGATCCCATTACAGTGGCCCCAATACCAAAAGTGAAAGTTCTGAATAAAGTCTTCATTATAATGCTTTCACAAGTATTACTGAATAATTTTTTTCTTTAAAATCTCTAAAACAACTAAATAGGTTTGACTGATATTTTTTCATTCTACAATGCAGGTATTTCTGTTTGAAACATCCAAAAGACTATGAATGTGGGACAACTTTCATAGAGCAAGAGTAGGCTGCAAGTAAAAATAAATTGAGTAACAGTCAAAATATATAAATTAATACTCATGTTTAGTACAATTATCAATACATACCCTATTAAAGGCATATAGTGATCCCAGATCAGGAGAGATGAATGATTATTTGAATTATAATTAATAGGAAATCCTTGTGCCCCTGCTTTCTAAAGCTAACAATAAATAATAAGTGTTGCAAACCATCTTAGGCAATTTCAACTTACTTCAGATCCTCTCTCTCCTTTTGGTCCTTGTTCACCTTGCTCACCTGGCTCACCCTTTAATGGGAACAAAACCAGAAATTATATATAAAGCAGAGGTAATAAGTTATTTTGATGTTAATTTTTTAAAATGCCAGAATTACAAAAAATGCTTTCAAAACATACTGGGGGCCCTTGTTGACCTGTGGCACCTCTTAGTCCTGGTAAACCCACATGACCCTAGGAATAGAGAAGAATATATTATCAGAGTAAATTGAGACATGTAACTTAGAGAAGAGGGTACTATTAATTTTAAATGGCAGTGAAATATTGCAAACTCAATTAAATATCATAGAGATTATAATTCTTGAAAATGAGGTAGAACATAATAGGTGCTAGATATTTTGATGAATATGATATACTATAATGAAAAAGTATAGAGTTCTTTCTGTTTTTTTTTTTTTTTGAGTTAATGTTATCAGTTGAATGATGGCCTCCCCAAAAGATGTCTATGTGGGCCTTACATCCACTAATGAGTAGGTTTGTAATAGATACAGAAGAAGGTAGACGACAGGGGAAAAGGCCTAGAGAAGACAAAGAAAGAGATTAGAATGATGCAGCGATGGGAGTGCTGACAGCTACCCACAGCTGGAATAGGCAGGGAGGATTCTCTCCTAGGTCCTCTAGAGGGAGTGTGCCCTACCCACTTCAATTTTGGATTCCTGCTCTCTAGAATTGAAAGAAAAGATTCTGCTGTTTGAAACCATCCATTTTGTGGTAATTTGTTACAGCAGCCCCAGGAAACTAATATGACCATTCCTGGGTATCCTAGGGGGATTAGTTCCAGGATACAAAATCTGAGAATGCTCAAATTCCTTATGTAAGGTTTAGTTTTTGTATATAACTTGTGAACATCCTCCCACCTACTTTAAATCATATCTAGAGTATTTGTATCTTATAAGACAATGTAAATACCTCATAAATAGTTATCATACTGTATTTTTAAGGGAATTATCACAGGGAAAAGAGTCTGTATTTGTTCAGTACAGATGCAATTTTTTAAAAAAATGATATTTTCAATCTGTGGTTGGTTGATATTGTAAAAGTAGAGGGCTAAATGTATAGACAATACCTATTCTCCCTGTGGAAGTTCATATTGGTCTCCATTTTTACATACTAGATTCATAGTCATTTAAACAGTAGAGTTAATGGGATGAAGACTGGAAGCAGATACTGCATGCAATAGAAATATCAAATGACTCTGAAATTCAGCAATCTGTCATCACTCTAGGTTTCCTAAGAAGAAATGCTGACCTACCACATTTCCCTTTTTAACTGTGTAAATATAAACTAGCAATAACCTAGGGGCATGTCAAATTAAAGTTATGAATGAAGAATTTGCAGGAAATCTCCTTTGTCCCCTTCTCTATTGTCTTCTTCAATAAGATTCCTTTCTTCCTATTTTCTGTATGTTACAGAAAGAATGCCTTAGACAGTTATGAGGCTCATATTCTCTGGGCTACAAGAAGAGGTTGCATACACGGGATAACAATATTCTCACATAAAGGTCAATGCAAATTTTTTTTGTTTGCATAAAGTAAGGCAATTAAATTTTAAATTTCAACTTCCTGATAAAGAAAATGAATCTTTTAAGAAAGTGAACAGTGGCAAGAGATAAATGCTAGTTTGGAAAGCTTTCTATATATTAATGGCCACACTAAAGAGAAAACCATTACTGCACATGACTCTCAGCAGTAAAACATGAGTAAAGTCAGTAACAGCATCAGGACAATCAAGAGGGGACATGATACAAGTGAATATGACTTCTTGTGGGTGACTTATCAAACAGGCTTTGGGTGAGAAGTGGTATAAAATACTGCAGTTTCAACATGAAGTGAGAATGTGCACATGAGTAAACCACAAAAATCAGAACTATCATAGCTAATTATGACTTTTCTATTATACTTGTCTGTAATAGAAATGAGACCTTTTCAGAATGATCCCAGAATAGCCAATTGGCTCTCTTGGCTTTGTGAAGTCTAAACAAATCTCACCAAAAACAATTTAACTATCTAAGAGCTTCACTGTAACTATTCTCATCCATCCTAGTAAAAATTGACAATAACCATTTTTATGTTATGGTCAAAATTAACTGTATAAAATCATGCAAAAGAGTTTATGGGAAATGGTGACTTTTGTCTAATCATGTTAGTGGTAGGATGAGTTACACTGTCAAGGGAAACTTAGAATTTTATAATGAAACTGATGATAAGTTCAATCTTGAAGGATGAGTGCTTTGGGCAGTGATGTGAGGACATTCTGAGAGAGAGCATGGAAAACAGATTCATGTGACAGAACAAATTAAGTGGAGAATGGATTTGAGAAGGCTAAGACTGGTGACAGAATATAGTTAGAAAGCTACTGAAATAATTCAGTCAAAAAATGAATTGAGAAAACGAGTTTAATAATAACAATTACAGTTTGTCAATTTAGTCTGGCTAATCTAATTTTGTATTTCAGAAATGACCACAGAAATTTTATCTCGAGAAAGGGATGTGATAGATCAATTAACCTATCAATTTATTATTAAGACTACTATACACAGGGTTCAAAACTAGATGCTGTATAGGAAAGGCATCCTATCCAAACTAGGGAGCACATTAAAAAGCAATTAGAAATAATAACAACAAGAGCAACAGTAGATGGTAAAATATTTGTGTTGAATAACATATAAATAATATTAGAGAACTATGCAAGAGTGCAAGATTACAGTTAGAGTGAGTCAGGGCAAAGGAGAGTGTCAGGGGAAAGGGGAGTTTAAGCTAAACTACAAAAGACAAATAAGATTTTTGGAAGTAAACATCCTTAATACCAATGTGATTCTAGAAAAAGTTCTACACACAGCTAATTTTAGTTCATGAAGTTGGTTTTACAAAATCCTTCTAAGAAGTGAAAGAGGCTAAGAATTAATTTAAGTCTTGAGAGTACAAAGATATTTATCTACCCTTTTGACAACACTTAACTGAATTCCTAATATATGCCAGGAACTTTGTCTTCTAGAAATTGGGAGTATAATAATGAGAAAGAGAGACAAGATTCTTAGTATCCTAAATCTTATATTTTGGTGGATGAAAATAGATTAAACAGAGAAACAAATGTATAAAAAAAAGTGGTAAAATAACACTACTATATATCATGAAAGTTATCAGATAATATAATCAAAAGTGAGTTATAAATCTGTTTTAGGTAGGGCATACAAAATAATCATTATATATCTATTTAAAATAGGGCAGGTAAAAAAGTCCTCTCAGGCAGGAACATTTCAGCTGATATCTGAATGATGAGAAAAAGCAGCAGTAGAGGGGTAGAGGGAGGGAAGGGAAGGGGAGAAGAGGGGAGGGGAGGGGAGATAGGAAGGGGATAGGAAGGGCAGCAGAATACAACAGACACTTGTTTGGCAGTATGTATAAACGTGGCTGTATAATCAATGTGATTCTGCAATCTGTACAAGGGGGAATAATAAGAATTCATATCCCATTTGAAACAAATGTATGATATATGATATGTTAAGATCAATGTAATGTTTTGAGCAACCAATAAATTTCTGATGCTTAAAAAAAAGAAAGAACTAGATGATTCTAAGAAAATGTAACAAAATAGAGCTAGACTTCTAAGATTACAAATTTAAGACATTACTAATCATCTCAATGGTGCTTATTTTTATGAAACTAAGTAAAACTACAGAGAAGCCTATTTAAATTTAGAAACACAGTGTATAACTGACAGTAATTACCTTATATCCCTCTGCTCCAGGCTCTCCTCTCTCTCCTTGTTCCCCCATTGGACCCTATAGTAACCCCACACAAAAATGATCAATTTCATAGCTGCATTCACAAATACAGATAATACAAGTAGTGTTTTGACAAAAATATAAACTCCAATGTATAATAATTTGTTTTGTTTCACTAAGTAATCAAAAGATTGAATTTCAACGATACCAACAACATTAAAATATGCTAAGTGCTGAATTACATAAAAAGAATCTCATAATGATTTTGTAAGAAAAAATACTGAAAAACCAGTTATAATTAAAAATTAAAAAAGATCATTTAAAGATCATTTAAATATAATCTTAACAATTAATCTACTTTACTTTCTTCATTGGAAATTCCAGGGTTTATTCTTTAATCTGTGAAATTTTTAATTCTCAAGGCATCATTTAATTTAAGAAAAATTATACTCATAAACTTTAATCCTTGAGACAGAAACTAATGTAATAAACTTGGACTCCATGACTTTTTTATTTTTAATGTGAATATTTTATACAATAAAATTTTATACAATAAACTATCAAACTATGTACTCTAAAGTGATTAAAAAACATTAGTTATCACATACTAGAAATTATCAGCTAAAGAGAATAAATTGAAATTAGTTAACAAAGCTACATAATTTATTATGGAGCATTGTGAGCTTTTATTCCTATGTAGATAAAGTTGATAGGCACAATGTAAAGACAATACTGTCTAATTCTGCTTTAATTATTTAGTATATTCTTAGTTTATGTTTGTTTCATTTTTATTAGATAAAACCAGCATAGTTGTAATAGTCTTCTAATACGTAAGTATTTATTATATGGTAGCTGACATTCTTTGATCCTGGCATACCTAAATCTGTGAAAAAGAAAGCACTATAATACTCCACTTGCCATTTTTTCTATTAGCTTTTAAATTTTTGCATTATTTATCTCTTAATGGTTTAGACAGATTAAAATATATTTGATAAAGAAAGTTACATATTTGTAGAGAGAAGTTCATCTCTAATGTAAGATGGCTTGATTTAATCAGAAAAATTCTAGAATATTTCCTTCTTCTAAAACAAAGTGCAACTTTCATGGTCAAAGAGCCAAACTGAAATGCCAGGAGTAACCACATATTCTGATCTTTTGCCTTTGGATTCTTTTATTTTCAGTGATACTATGTGGAAAATGGAAAATGAAACCAGTTATATTTATTTCAGGGTCCTAAGCATTATTGTACCCATTTCATTTTCATATGTCTACTATACATTGTTTTAATCAACATGAATACAGAGATAGTTATTCAGGTAATCAAAGCTACTAATAATAGCTACTTTTCAAAAACTGTGGTTATAGTTAGTCCTTACAATATAGACCCATGATCTTTAAAGATTATTGGTTCTAGTAACCTGTTATAAGAGTTTGGAACTCACTTAACTATTATCAAAAGTATATAGGTTAGATTTTTTAATACTTTAGAAATCAATATGAATTTGATAATTAGAGAAATATTTGCTATAAAAGTACAGAGTATATAAATTTTGGACAGTTTCTGCATAAAGTTACAATGCATTTAATGCTGAAAGTTAGATTTTGGAAGTTACTGTCTCAAATCTACATATTAGGAAAAAGTACTTGATCTGCATCTTTTTCATATCTAAGACTTTCACGTTATTTATATTTCATGATGGCAAATACTGCTCTTCTATCTAACCTTGCAAAGTTAGCAAAATAAAACTCTTTGAAAAGATAAGATTGGGCTGGGGATATAGCTCAGTTGATAGAGTGCTTGCCTTTGCATGCACAAGGCCCTGGGCTCAACCCAGCAACATACACACAAAAAGATGAGACTGGTGTTGTGAATCTACTACTGTGTTTCATCTTGAGGTGTCAAGATATTTTAGAAAAAGACCTACTGGTTCACCTCGAGGCCCAGGTGGTCCTTGAACTTTGCTATCTTCTCCTGGGTAACCCTAAAATGAAAATAATGATTTATCAACCAAACCAAATTAATGAAATAACATTTATAAATACATAGTCTATTATTTTAATAAGTTAGAAAATATGCAATTTGGTTTTATCTTTTTTAAGTGGAAAATGTGCCTAAGAAATGAAGCATATAATGTTTTATACACAGTTTTAACTTGTGCATGATTCTTGAAAGTATTCATTTGTTTTAATTATATAAAAAGCATGCTGGGAATTTTCTCAATATGTCAAGTTTTAATGATATCATAAATCAAAAACACTGTTAGAATTATTTCCAACTCATTAAAATATTTTAATATAAATGTACTATAATAACTCATGTAATCTAGAGTCTCCCAATCTCTTTCAGTAAATAATTAATTTTATTTTTATAGGACTACAGCTCACAAAGCATTTCACATGTATTATTTCACCCTAATTTTGAAATAATATGCAGAAGATATTTTAATAATTTATTTAACTTTTAGCTCCTTGATATTTATAATGTTTTGGAATTTGCAGAATTTCTAATTTGAAAAGTTGTTCTCTTATTCCTTGAAAATATTTCTATGCATTATTTCAGAAAATTTAATAAAGTCAACATCTTACTTAAGAGTTAAAATATCAGTATAGACACACACCTTTTCTCCTTTAGGGCCCGGGAGCCCAGAGAGTCCTGGTGGACCTTGCTGGCCCTATAAAAAGACAAGTAAGCAGATATTCTCTATGTCATTTGTATATGCTCTATCTAATGCCATGAAGCCCATGCTGTTAGATATTGTGCTACTCTAAAAAGAAAAATAGAATTCACTCTATAGGAGGATTAGAACTAAATGTTAGAAAGTTTTATCAGGAAGATTTAATCTTACTTTCCATATTTGGAATGTCATCTTTAATATAAAGGTGTATGTGTGAATATTTTTAATGAGAAATGATTACCATATATCCTGGAATTCCTGATTCTCCATCAAGTCCCATCAGCCCTAAAGGGCCCTAAAAATCAAAATAAATATTAGTAAGAGAGGAAACAGATGTTTGTTTAAATCATTTTTACCATTAGAATTTCATGGTCTGAAATTCTACCTAGTCTGAAATGGGAAAACACGCCCCCCCCCACACACACAAGTTTTGTCTTTTTTTGGTAGAGGGTACTGGAGGTTGAACTCAGGGGCAGTAGACCACTTAGCCACATCCCCATCCCTATTTTGTATTTTATTTAGACACAGAGTTGCTTAGTGCCTCGCTTTTGCTGAGGCTGACTTTAAACTCGCCATTCTCCTGCCTCAATTTTTATCCTTTATTTTCATTTGAACCACAGAAGTTCTATAAAAAAGTGTTTACTTCTGCTATGAATGTGCTTAATCATATTAAAAGAAATATTTCCAGTTGTCATAATACTGATGGTCCCCAGAAAATTCTTGGAAATGTTTGTATCTCTCCAAGATTGTGTATCACTAAATATTGGAAAGTGGTCATGTTTCTGTGAGGTGCAGGAGAACACTACATACTTGTAGATGTTTTCATATCCTTTGATAAATATGGTTTTAGTTTTGGTCAAAGTTGTTAAAGTAGAGATAGTGATGTGATAGTAATCTTATAATTACTTATTATCAATATCTTGCAGATGAGGAAACCATATAAATTAAAGACTAATCAGTAAATGCCCCTAATCTAGTGAAAAGATAGACAATTGTAAAAAGCAAAAGTAATGATTCTAAAAATGAGAGAGAGAGAGAGAGAGAGAGAGAGAGAGAGAGAGAGAGAGAGAGAGAGAGCGCGAGCGCTATTTTTTAAAAATTTATTTGTAATAACAATACTGGAAGACAATTAACTAAACATCATCAGTAGACCAAAATTTGTGATTTGAGATATGAAAACAGGGCTGAAAATGTGCAAAGAAGAAAATTGTTACAGATGTGCAAATGGTCTCAAGGAAGGAAGTTTCCAACTCTGAAATCAAGAAATTAAAGGAGCAGGATAGGATCAGGTTTAATAATTGGGGAAAGAGTCAGAAGGTCTTTCTACTTCCTTGCCTGTACTGGGTATCAGACAGCCAAAATTTCCTAGAGATTAAATGAATAAGTGTGGGAGCTGTAGCCAAAAAGGCTACAGCTAAAGGCTGCTGTTGACTCTAAGTTTGGGTAGATAGGAGCCACTACAATGAAAAATAAAATATGTGACTCATAAAAAAATATGAGCCATGAACCTTAGGGTATTTAAAAATACATCTTTAAAATATGCAACCCCTAAAAAAGTAAGTGGGTGGGGAGACCTCAAAAACCTCTTTCAGAGATCAAGGAATCAAATAGTAAGGAAAAAAGTAAGAAAGCTATAAGGATTTGAGTGACACAGTTAACAAGCTTGATCTAACAGAAATACACAGAACTCCGTACTTATGGAAAAAAAAATTACAAAATTTTAGTATATAACAGTTGTAGTTTATAACAGACCTCAAAGAAATTAAACAGACGAACTAAACTAATTCCACAAGATAGATAAAAGAACTATAAACTCAAAAAAAGAGGAGAAAGAAAATAAAATTAAAGCACAAATTATTATTAAAATAGAAAGCGAAATCCCACAACTAGGGAGGCTGAGGCAGGAAGATCACAAGTTTAAGACCAGGCTCAGCACCTTAGAAAGACCTTGTCTCAAGATAAAAATTTTAAAAAAGGCTGGAGAGAGTTTAGTGGTAGAGTGCCACCCTGGTGTCAATTCCCAATACTGCAAAAAACAAAAACAGAAAAAGAGTGGAGTAAAAAAATAAAGTAGATTCTTTGAACTGACTAATAAAATGGCTAAATTTTTGCAAGTATGATCAAGAAATAAGAGTAGACACAATAAAATAGCATCAGGAAAGAGAATTTGGAAATAACCTCAGGAATTTTTTTTTTTTTGTACTGTGATTTTTTGCAGTGTTGGGAATCAGTCCTAGGGCTCTGCACATGCCAGGCAAGAACTTTATCAATAAGCTATACCCTTAGCTCTAAAATTTCAGATAGAAGAAAATAGAAAATACAAGTTTGATCTAAATTTGAAAATCTAGATAGAAGATATTTTTAGAAAGAACCTGAAGAAATTTATTCAAGAAGAAAATTTGATAGGCAAAGACCTACTATTAATAAAATAATATACAGCCCAGATCTTTTTAATGGGAAGATGGAAGATAATGGGAAGATAAGGGGAAGTTGGAAGAGCAGATGGTTCTAAACCATTACTGAACCATTAGAGAACACAGAAAAATGTAGAAAATCATTTTATAAGACATTAAATTTTTTCAAACCCAATTAAAGATACTATATATTAAAAAAAGAAAAAACCCTAAAGGCCTAAATTGTTTACAAATACAGATGCAAAATTTCTTTCTTTCTTTTTTTCTTTTTTTTTTTTTTAAAGACAGTGATTTGCTATGTTGTCCATGCTGGTCTGAAACTCCTAGGCTCAAGTGATCCTCCTACCTCTGAATCCCTATTAACTGGGACTGTAGGCACATGCCATTTTGCCTGGTTCCTGAAAAATTCTTAAGATAACTAAATGCAATAAGTGAAACTAAAACTCTTACATAAAATAGTAGCAAATTGAATCCAGTAATAATAGAAGAAGAATACAAACATACCTAAGTTAGATTTATCCTAGGAATTCATAGTTGATTCAACTTTTGGAAATCCATTAATGAATTTCCTTATATTAACAAGGGAAAGAAAGCCTGGGATTATCTAAACAAATGTTATAAAAGTATTTAAGAAAATTTAACATTTCCTTGTAGTTAAAACTCTGATTAAGAATAGAAATAAATTTCTTTAAAATAATAAAAGCATGTTCCAAAAAAAATTCAAAGAATACTTGAAAATGAGGCATTAGTCGTATTTTTACTAATAGGCACAGAACAAGATTTTCCTTATGATGACTTTTATTCACTACTATTTCAGGATTTTTTTGCAATGTAATAAGTCAAAAAAATAAATAAAGGAAGGTGATATTATTATTTACCTAAAGATTCCATAAAAATTACCTAAATTCATTAAAGTGGGTATGAGATCAAAATATGAAAATAGTTTTTTACCAATCCAATGACATAAAGGAAAAAGATTATATTAACAATGAGAACAAAATTTATTAAAAAGCTAAGAAAAAATCTAAAAGAGAGTTGTAAGAACAGAGTAAAGGAAATACAACTTTCTCAAAGTATGTATAAGAAGGTATGAGTAAATGGAAAGACATAGCTTCTTTACACAAAAATTCAATTTTGGAGGAAACTAATGCTGGTTCTAAAGTTCACATGAAAGAGGAAATCAGTTATGGAGTACTTGCTCTAACAGATCTCAAAAGATATTGTTAACAATATAGTAAATAAAACAGTATAGTATAGACTCAGAAGCAGACTATCAGTTTGAGAGATATAAACAAACCAGTGACTATTTGAGAATTTAGTTTATAGCATTATTTCATAAAGGTGAGAAATAAGTTAACTGTTCAATAGATAAAATTGTGACAACTATGTATCAAATTGAAAAGAAGAAAATTCATCATCTACAACTCATACCAAAAATAAACTCCATGCCTCAAAGAGTTTAAAACGAAAAGCTATAAAAGCATTAGGATAAGAATATTTTTATACACTTTAGGTAGGAAAGGCATTTTTAATGAAGAAATAAAACCCCAAAACTGTAGAGAAAAAAATTAATAAATTTGACAATGTAAAAATTAAAATGTTTTGTATGGCTAAAGATATCATAAGCAAAATTAAAAGATAAATGACAGAAGTGAAAACACTGTAATACATTTTACACCATATTCACCAAAACTATATTAGTATTTAAGATACATATCATAGATAGAATCAAATCAGTAAGAAAAAGACAACCACGTAATGAAAAACATGTAGACATGTAGATAACTTCTGTAGGTAAAAAGTACAAGTTACTTAGTTGTAATCAGGGAAATGAAAATAGAAAAATGAGATATAATTTTCTCATTTATCCGATTGGCAAACATGGTTGGTGGGAATGTAAATTTGGTAAAGCCTCTTTGAAAGGAGTTTCAGAATAGCGTGTTGAAATTGTAAAAGTGAATACTTTTACAGTCAAAAATCCAAAGTAGGAGCCTACTTTGAAGACAATATTCTTTGGATGTATCAGTTTTTATGTTTGTTAAAAATTAATCACATTATATAATGGTTTTAACATATAGGTCAAAGACAGAGAAATATTAATAAATGAAATAAAAGGGAGTAGGAAAGGCCTGGGGTAATAAGATATTAGTAAGTAATAGAATACTTAGGATGAACCTGAGGCTTCCTCAACAACAAATGGATTACATAATGGTCTCTGAAAGGCCTGTTCAGTGTCTAGCATTGATTACATTTAAATGGAGACAAGGAAATACACCTGAATTTTTTTTTAAGTTTATGAACATTAGAAGACTAAAGTTGATAATTTAAAAAGATATTTTACATCTCTTTCATGCTGTGACTTTTTGAATAGATCCAAAATATACCACCAATATAATTTTTATAATTTTGCTATTATAAGTACAGAAGTATTATGCTACATTTGTTCCCAGCATCATGCAAAATTCATGCAAAAGATTAAGATAGAGATGTTATGAAGATTTATCACAGCTGGTTAGAAAAAATGATCTCCAGATAAAGCATGAAGAATCCAAGCACAGAAAAAAAAAAAACCACTCATTTCAAGTAAACCTAATTTTCAAAGCAATTTGTCAACCATGACAGCATAATTTTATACAGATATTAAATCCTGATTTTAAGTGCTAGTCATATAAACTTTCCTACTTGGGTTAGGAATTACAATCTAATTTTTAAAAAACCTCATTTCTTATTTTATTTCCATTTTCAGTTTTTTCCCTTTTCCTTTCTCATGTCCAGAAACCACTAAGCCATTTAAGTACTGTGGAATGCTTACAATTCTCCACATCCCATGGAGATAGATTATTTTCAATGGAACTATTGCCTTCTCTGTAAAGTTAATCAAGGGATGAAGCTTTAAGAGCATGGATACATTTCTTTTCCACCCACAGTGACTCAGTTCTGGAAACAAATCAAATACTGACCACAGCACCTCTAGTTCCTCTGGCACCCTTAGGACCACTTTCCCCAATTTGTCCAGGAGCACCTCTGCTTCCAACTTCTCCTGTGGGTCCTATTTGTCCTTTATCACCCTGTGGATGAAATTAGTATGAGAGAATGTAAAAAAAATTATACTTAGATTAATTAACTATATCATATACTTGAGACTTCAGAGGACATTCAAAAAATTCTGTAAATGGCAACTTTCTTTTAACTTAGCTACAGACCACCACTAGAAATAAAAACATACCATCACCATACAAGTTATTTGAAAAATGTAAGTAAGTTTGGAAAAAGAAGGATTTTAAAAGGATTAAATTCAACCAACCAATCAGGTGAAATCTGGTGCTCATGTTGAATTCCAAACAACCGACTTTTTAATTTTAAATTTTGTCACATGTATCTGTACACATGTATATATTATTATTATAAGGAAACACAGGTGATGAGAAGTCTGTTTCCACAGAGAATTTCAGTATTTGAAAGGTCAGTTTCATGTAAAAAAGGCTTCAGTGTGCAGTTCTACACATGTAGGATCATTACTCACTAGGTTAACTATGCCTTCAAAATATCATTTTATATTCTTCTGAAAACTGGTTTCCTTCTGTTTCCCATTATACTGAGTGTCCCTCACTTTAAGCACCAAAATACAACAGCTATTAAACAACATTAAGTGTATTTATTCATTTTATGAACATGGGAATCAACCTTTCCTGTTATTGATATTCAAGAAGACACAAAAGAAAAGGTAAAGGGATGTGTGTGTGTGTGTGTGTGTGTGTGTGTGTGTGTGTGTGTGTGTGGTGTGCTGGGGCTCAAACTCAGGGCTTTGTGCATGCTAGGCAAATGCCCCACTGCTAACTACACTGCCAGCCTCAATGCTGATTTTGGATATAATATTATATCTAATGAGAGAGACTTCAATATTGGTATTATTTTCATGGGCACGAATGGCAACTAAAATTTACTTCATTCATTTGTTTATTTATTTCTTAATTATCCCTTCCACTGTTCCAAAAATTTGAGAATAATGGAGTAGGTGTACATCTGTAAAAAAGCAAGAGCTGGACTTTGGGAACTAGAATATGGTGTGATTTGGTTGATTATGAGAAATATATTCTGAATTGTCACAGTCTAATGTGAAAACTGTTGTCATACCTTATCAACATTTGAACAAATTATCGGTCCCATACAAAGATGAATTTTTCATTATAATGTATTAGAATTTTACAAATATGTAAACTGTTAAAAAGTAAAATATGAAGTAAGCAACTGAAAAATATTCTGAATTTGTGGTTCTTATTGGATGAGAAAGATAAAATCAATCACTAATCTTTTCAATTTAGAAAAACACATTAATAAAAATCCAGAAACAATTATAATCTTTTCCCTCTAATATCTTACTAAAGTCGTTATCAAATAGCACAAATGATAGAGTATTTTCATTTTATCTTTTTTATTTTTCACCTATGATCTATAAAAGATTTTTTGGAAAACAAGAGACCAAGGAAAAAGAATATTTTTTTAAAAAAGCAAATTCCAAACTGGAAAATTGCTTTCAAATAAGAAAAGTGACATATATTTCTAAGTGGAATTAAATATTAATTTATACAAATGTGCCTTTAAACACCAAATTTATAAATTTTATATTTAGTGCAAATCAAAATACTATAGCATGCTATGAATTTCTGGGCCTTAAGAAGAAAAAAATACTAAAAAATATTTAAACATTACCTTTTTTCCTGGACGACCTCTTTGTCCTGGAGTTCCTATCATTCCTTCGGGTCCCTGAATATTTAATATATAGAAAGAAATAAATGGTTAAAGAAAAGAGTGGAATTTTGAATACTTACATCAGATAAGTACTGAAATATACACTAAATAAAAAAGGGCTACTTTTCACAGTGATTAAAAAGCACAACTGTGACCAACTATAAAATTCACACACACAAACCTGCCAAGATAGGAAAAACTAAACTGTGTAGTAAAAAAATTACTTTATTTCAATACACTTATTTTAATTAATGGGAAGAGAATTAAACACAAATGAATCCATATTAACATTTCTATGAGCTATTGTGAATTCAGAATCTTGAAAGAATAAGATTATAAAATATAATGCATAGTTAAGAAAAATCTCAAAATCTCACTGGAGTATGGAAGTTTGAAGAAATATTCTTTGATCTGTAGGTTAAAAAAAAAGGAAGAGGAGAAAATACAGCAAGACTACTGTTTAAATAATATTTTCATTTCAATTGGTACTTTGTCAAAAGTAGATGAAAAAATTTTAATATATACTTTTTTTAATTAAAAAAGTGTTACGCCACATGAATTTTCAGATCAACAATGAGTAGGCTTAAGTGTGATCCATATTGAGCCAGGTTGGATGTTCTAAAATGGCAAATAATTAATCACAACATTCCTTTCATTAGTTGGAAATGAGAATGGAAATTTCAAATTTGTGTCCCCAAAGCTTGGCAATCTGCAGAAATGATGTAGAAAGAAATAAATTGTGGTTTACCACTGTGCTATGTAGGCTCTTGATAAATATTTGTTGAACGAATAAACAGATACCTAAGGAAATGACTCATGCCCTGTGCTCCCAAGCAAATGCTCTTCTAGCCTCACTGAGTTTAGAGGCCAGAGCAGTTTTGTTCTATTGCTGTAGTTATAGCTGCATCCAGAGGTAGAAATGATAGTTGCACTATTCTGAGGAGTTCTTTGAAGCTAATAAGGACTTAAAAAAAGTTGATAAATCTTCTATACAGAATTAGACCCAAATGAATCCATTTTAACACTTCTATGAGCTACTGTGAACTCAGAACCCTGAAAAGAATAAGTGAACTTTAAAAAAGTCAGACTACACAAGCAGCTTCATATTATGACTTTGGCACTAAATAACTATAATAGCTATATGGACACTGGGCAGATTATTTAATTTTTAAAGGTCTCTGTTTTCTTCCCAGATAAAAGGGGATCAATGAAACCTCTTTGAAGAGTTACTAAGATTAAATCAGATAATGCATGTAAAATTTAGAAAGGATTAGACTTTTAATGAACAGCTCAATAAATATTAATTTTCACAAGTTTTTAAAGTAAATCATGCAATAGTATACTTAACTATTCTATGTAACTCTTCTATATAACTATTCTATAAAGAAATTAGAAGATACAATGAAAATTCATGAACTTACCTCCCACTTTAATAAATAGGACCAATATATGTATATATAATTAAGCCCCAATATATACATATACCTTTCCAAACACATCATCTTCCTCTCCACTCAGTACAATCATCATTCTGACTTTGTTTATTAATACTATGAATTTCTTAACTCTATTTATAGTATCCCCAAGCAATATGTCACTATTTTACACCTTTTAAAATAAGGAGTATCATATTTTATGCATTATTCCAAAATTTTTAATACAACATTTTGTTTTTTCAGTTTTTCAGGGAGTCTTTAACACAGTTCTCATTTTTTTTACTGTTATAGGATTCTATATTATCAAATCATAATTCAACCACTTTTCTAATGGTTAACTTTTTGTTATATAGATAATGTGTTATATATTATAAACACCCTGTGCATACCTCCCTGTATCTATGTTAAGAGTTTTCATTAGGTTATAAACCCTAGAGTTGACTTGCTGGGTTTCAGAATATGTATATCTTCAATATACTATATTAGACATTGCCAAATCATTCTCCAAAGTAGTTTTGCCAATTTACATTGCCATGGCAAATGCATAGGGGTTCCAGTTACTCTGTATCTTCTGAAATGTTAGGTACTATTGAACTTAAAATATGTTTACCCCATGAGAGCAAAATGATGTTATCTTTGATTTCAATTTGCATTACTGGTTATTAAGGAGAAATGAGCATCTACTCATATAGTTACTTGATATATCTGCTTGATTTTCTGGTTCCTGAATTCCGCTTTCTTTGAGTTACATGAAAGTTTTTATATATATTTGTTCACTTTCTATATATTACAAATCTCTTCTAGCCTTAGCTGATTTTTCTCACTGTATTTGTAACTTTTGATTAACACAAGTTTACAATTTTAATGTAGTCAAATTCATCAATATTTGCTTGTTCCTTTTCATGTTTTGTTATGATTCTTACTGCTTCCACTCCTCCCATGAGGTCATCAAAATCTCTTAAATATTCTACTAAAAGTTTTAAAATTTTTATTTCCATAGCTAAACTTTAATCAGAATTTAATTCATAGTGTGTGCATGGATGTGTGTAAGCACATATGTGCATTTGTGTGTGGGAAAGATTTTCCCCCATTGGGATAACCAGTTATAGTAATTCATCTATTGAATAGTTCATCTTTTCCTTATAGATACACAGTGTAATATCAAATTATAAAACATTTCAAAATATACTTAGATCTAGGTTATCTTCTATTTGCATTGGTCAACATGTGAGCAATATGAAATTAAGTTAATTACTCTTATTAGGTAGGTCAAGTTCTCCCTTTCACCTCTGCCCCCGGTTCCCAATTTGCTTTAAAATTGTATCGATACGGGGTAAAGTTGGGAGTTCATAACCCGCTTGAATCAAACTGTGAAATATGATGTATTAAGAACTGTGTAATGTTTTGAATGACCAACAATAAAAAAAAATTGTATCGATTTTTGCTCTTTGGTCTTCAACATTAGTTTTAAAATCACTTTTTTAAAACAATATCTGTATTTTGTTTACTTTTATTTTTATGTGGTGCTGAGGATTGAATCCAGTGCCTCACACATGTGAGGCCAGTGCTCTACCACTGAGCTATAGCCCCAGCCCTTAAAATTACTTTTCATCAATCAAGTTCTATAAACAAAAATTTCCTAAAGAGATTTTGATGGAAATCATACTAAATGTATAAACCAATTTAGAGGAGAATTTTATCATTTTATTGTATGAAGACTTCCAATCCATAAATCCATTTTTTAGGTCTTCTTTAATAAACTGGCCAAGTTTTTTATTTTCAAATTGTAAAAATTTTCCACAAGTTTTTTGCAAATATTTTGATAGATTTATTATAAGGTACTTAATTTTGTTGTTAATTATAATTATATTTAAAATTGCATGTAAAAAAGCTTTCTAACTACTTATTACTGGTGAAAAAGAACAGTACCATTTTTAATATAATAATTTTATATTGTACAACTTCCTGAATTCTCATTGATTCTTTTTTGCTAGAAATCAAACCTAGGACCTCACACATGTTAGGAAAGTGCTCTACCATTGAGGTATATCCCAGCCCTCATTAATTCTTATAATTTAGAGATTATTTATTTTGCTTTGCTATCCTGGCTGGGACTTCGAGTAAATATTACATGGAAATGGTGACTAGAGAGTGGTACTTAGTTCATTTATTTGATGTTTCCACATTAAGCATGATAGTTGATATATGGATATAATTTTATTAATTTTTTGTTTTCATCTCTTGGAATAATTATATTTTTTCTTTGGTTTGTAAAATATGTGACTTACATATATAATATTTTAAAATATTAAACCTCTGTTGTAATATAAACGAAACTCTCGATTATGTCAATACTCCACAACTATACTGAATCCAAATACACATGTATTAGCTGACATAAATAAATCCAACCAAATTTTGTCCTAAAGGAATAAAACAAGATAATTTCATTTTAATATGTTCTACTTTGGAGTTCCCAGCTCCACATGTATTTAGATCTTAGGTACCACAGAAGTAGAATTTTTAGGAATGGATGACAGACTGTGAGTCCAGTAGGTATTTCTTTTCAGATGCTCTTTTCTCATACAGAATTATGCATTGGGAAACTGGACAGTTTAGCAGAGAATTCAAGGATAAGATAAATAATTTTTTTTCCTATTCAAAGAATGCTCTAGTATGAATTTGGAATTTGCTAATGAATGCTTCCTTGTTTTTCAATCATTCTCAATCTTCTAGGAAGTAAAAAGAATGTAAGAAAGGTTCTCCTTCCGTGAAAAAAAAATTTAAGAAGTTTTCTTTCTTTTTCTCACTCTCTTTTTTGTTGATTTTGTAAGAACCCGAGGTAGTATCTTTATGACACTGCTTAAGGAAGAATTTTAAAAGTGAAAAATAAATCCAACATCAGGCTGTCTGATTAAGCAATAGTTCCTTGGATCAAAAAATTCTTTTGAAAAAATATGCCATGGTATTTTTATTGAGTTTATAAGCTGAAAGGCATTTAAAATTCCAAGGAGAACAACAAAAAGAATAAAAAAGAAACACACATGTGTTGTTACTAAAAAAGGCACCAAAGATGTGTACTAGGCAGAATTGTTCCTGGGAAAAATTACGAAGCAGATGAAATCTGTGTTTATCATTTTTCCATGCCTTGTTTTGAGCCCCTTCATTTCTGCTCTTCCCATCATCAATTGTCAAGCTGCATCATCCTGAGGGTCCCTGCTTTGTTTGTCTTTCCTTTTTCCTAGTGTGTTTGCCTTTCCCACTCTTAGGATTCTGCTAGGGAATTAAGTAAGTTGGCTTAAAAAAAATCCATGCTAGAATATAAATAATTATCAGCAGCTTTTAAAATATAAAAACATAAATGTAACAAGAATTATCAGGAAGATAATCACAATTTTTTGAACTTGTTACTTGGCTTCTCTGTGGGTCTAGCCTAATACTAATGGAAAAAAAAATTCTTTAAAAAAGATTTTACAAAACTACCAAGAACCCTAGGAAGGCAAAAGATAGGACCAAAACTGCTATTTAGGCAAGGCTCTCTCTTCTGTTTTCTCAAAACAGAAGTCAGAAAATAAAGAATTAGTGCCAGCTCAGCTATCTGCTTTATTTTCTGGTATGAACTACTAGACTGTGAGTCTGAGTTTTTTCCAGTTACAAAATGGGAAATAGTATCTATAGTTATTAGGATGGTATGAGAATATATAAATGAGTGTGTTTTGCTCAGTGTCTGGGGCAAAGATATTTAAGAGTTTAGGGAGGATTCTCTGGGTCTTTGTGTATGCTATGGTGGAATACTCATCACAGTTATTTAGGACTGAGTGAAAATATAGGCACTGCACCACAATGGTAAAAATGGAAGGAAAAATGACTCAATTTGCTAGTGCTCACAACAACTTCTGGTTTAACCTCATTCTTCAAATGTCAGTTTGAAATACACTGGTACGATTATCCATTATTTGGGGAAAGATGTGGTATAGCACTGTTTTACTTGCTACTAAAGGAATTACAGCCACGAGTAAATGTGAATGATGAGATGGCCAGTTTGTGCATCACTTATGATGTTAGTTGAAGAGCTTTCTTCTTTGTTCTGCAAACTAATTGAGTTGAATGGGGCAGGGACTCTCATATATAGGACACTAATGATCTGAAGATTGGAAGCCAAAGGAGGAAAAGTAGAGGAAAAACACAAAAAGATAACCAATATTATAAATCACTACTTTGTCTCCCACCCCATCTGCATGATCAGTTTCTCAATCTTTATCGAGCCCCCCATGTAGAAATACTGCAACAAAGAAGCACTGAGGTTTATGGGAAGAGTATCTGCTTCAGAATAGGTATGATCTCCTGAAAAAACAGACCAAATGCTTAAAAGTTAACTTTTAATCTTTCAAAGGCTGATGATGATTGCTGGAGTTCAGAGGAAAGAGAATTTCCTGGTAGGGTCATAAGGGATAACTTCCAAAAAAGAAGAGTATTCCCAAAGATAAGAACAGGAAAGTAATCAGTCAGCTGTATGGAAGAATATTACAAATCCTATAAGTTAAGTGTTGAAGCTAGAGAGAAGCTGTTTGCATTATTTATTCACATCTTCCATTTGCCTCAAGGTGAAGGAACTGATTTCATGACATTTAGAATTTTCTTTAAAGTAATACAATTCAGGATCAAATATCAATAGCTAATAGTGTGCTTATAAAGAGTTTCCATGCTGGATCTAAGCTATTAAATTTATAATAAGAATGTCTATTCTATGAATAAAGTTAAAAATATTCAATCAAACTAAGACAACAAAAAATTTTCCCTTACAAATGGTTTACATAAGAAATTCCAGGCCTTTTTGTATCTGGAGGGTGGATAAATAGTCGCTACATTGCCCCTTTCTCAAGGCACAATTCAACACTTCAGTTACTAAAGTGTGTTTGTATGTGTTGGGGGTGGGTATATGCATACATATAGGAACTGAGTTCACTGAGTATTTGACAATGAACACAGCAGTACTCACCGGAAGGCCCATTCTACCTTGACTACCGAAGGGCCCAATAGTTCCTGGTAAGCCCATCTCTCCTTTTTCTCCATCTTCTCCAGGAAGTCCCCTTTCTCCTGGAGTCCCCTGGAAATCAATGAAAAAAATTTCAAAAGAAATGCAGTGAAATAATTATGCCACACAATATACTGGTTTGTATATGGCATACAAAAACAATCGTTTAATGTTTTAAAGATTTCACAAAACATCTATTTTATATGTAAGATTAAAAATACAGTTTACCTTTAATCCATCTTTTCCCTGGAGACCTTCTTCTCCAGGAGCCCCTGGTTCACCCTATTATGTAGCAGAAACAGTAAGATTAATTTTTTACTATGATTATTCATCTTATTTATCTTTACTCTTTGTCCCAGCACGTATAGAAAGTAGTAAGTTTGTATTCATTTATTTCTACTTCTACTTTATCTATAAAGAGGATATGAGAGAATAAGAATGATTTAATTTGCCTTAAATAGCTTAGCAGAAAATTAAAATAGAATGTTGTAAATTTAAATATAAGATGGTTCCAGAATATTAATAAATGTTTGGTAATTAATATATTCATGTGGTAGCTCTAAACTTGTGCTTTTGAGTTCAAGGAATATAAATACTACATTTCATTAAATAGTGTATTTTGCTATACTCAATTTACTTGACTATGATTATTCTACCAGATTTTTAGGGTTTCTCCTTGAAAGATAGCAGAGAGGTCATGATACCTTGAGAAGCTACTCTCTACACAGGGAACTTAAAGAAATATTAGAGTCATAGTTGAAGAAGCTGTTAGATAGCACTGGGTCTCTTGATGCCTAAATTATTTTAAAATAAATTTTTCGTTCTTATTAATAGTTGTTTATATCTCCCATCACTGATGTTTCCATCACCCTCATGTCTGACTCACTCCACTACCCTAAAAAAGGGAAAGTGAAAAGAAACAAACCAGATACAAAAGTATATTTCCCCAGTTTGTCTTTTAATTAACAAATGCTTCTTAAAATTATCTCGGATATTGTGTTCTTGGGGAAAATTCCTTACTACAGCTCAAAATAAAGCTATTCATCACAGTATAACTTCTCTAAGATAACAAATTAAAACTATTTATAATATTTCTTTGCATATTATTAACTTAGCATGATTCTAGGGTGCTTTTTAAAATATAAATTAGATTTCAATCTTTCATCTGCCTCTTTTAGGTCAGGAGATATCCTGAGAGTTGGTCACTGGTATTCATGAATTCCTTCCAAAGGCTACCATAAGTGACAATCACAGTGATGCCACATTTTTGGCAACTGATTTTGAGGAAATAGTATATGGGGTTAGGACTCTAAATGCTTCTAAGTGAGAATGTAGGCAGTGTTTAGTTTCAGTTTTTGAGATTATGAAATAAAGACAAATATTTTCTAAAGGCATCAGAAAGGTTTATTATGCTATATTTGAGATGTTTAAAATGGTAAGTTTTAAGTCCCTGAAATTAATGGGTTAGTGCATTAAAAAGGTTTTGTGAAAGTACTTACTCGTAACCCTGGTTCCCCAGGTCCTCCAACACTGCCCGCAGGTCCAACATCTCCCTGAATAAACAAAGGGAAAGACTAAACTCTTTTCACTAAAACTGCATGTCTAGGGCAGGGTTAGGAATTCCAAAACACTTCACAGTTTTTATCTGTGGGCCTTCACCAAATTTCAAGATCTGTGTTTGCAACAATGGGGCAAATGCAAAGAATTCAATGGTGACAGTTTAGAGAACCTCTCTTTAACTATTATAGGAAGTTTACCTTAGTACCCTGTTCGCCTTGTAGACCAGATTCTCCCTCAATGCCTGGAGGTCCCTAAAAGAGAATGATTTGACACATTATAAAGGCAGTAACACCTCATAAGAAAATAATAGTAATTTTTAGCTTAAGGGTAACCAATATCTAAGTTTAGGAGAGGGTTTTTTGTTGTCTTCCTATAAACCTCATGGGATGGAGACCAGATACTTACTGGTACACTTTAACAGTACAAATACAAAACAACTTTACCTGAAATCAGGATCAGTTTCTTAAAATCTTTCTTCTCATCCTTTAAGCCTTAGTCAAAGAATGAAAAACAAAATACCTCCTTCTTCAAATTTTCTACTTTCAGGGACAAAAGTGTTTTCTGATCTTTTGCTTTTCTCATCCTTTTCTGTTATGTCCTCTGGAACCAACTTCTTTAATAAAAATTCAATTTTGCTAAATGATTTTATAAAAATATCACACAAATAATAGGTAAATTTATTCACTCTTACAGTATGGATATGAGGTGTCCACCAAAAACTCATGTGTGAGACAATGCGAGAAGGTTCAGAGGAGAAATGATTGGGTTGTGAGAATCTTAACCCAGTCAGTAAATTAATCCCATGATGGAGATTAACTGAGTGAAAACTGAGGCAGGTAGGGTGTGGCTGGAAACTGAGGTGGGTCATTGGAGGTGTGCCTTTGGGGTATATATTTTGTGTCTGGTGAGTGGAGTCTCTTCCTATTTCCTTATCATCATGTTTGCTGCTTCTCTCTGTCACATTCTTCTACCATGATGTTCTGCCTCACCTCGAGTCCCAAGGAATCAAGCCAGCTGTCTATGGACTGAGACCTCTGAAACTATGAGCCCTTAAATAACTTTTCCTCCTCTAAAATTGTTCTTGTTGGGTATTTTGATCACAGCAGCAAAAAAGCTGACTAAAACATTCACATTATAAAAGAGACCTACTTCTCTCTTTCCCCTCCATCCCTCTCCTTCCTCTCTTTCTTATATTTTTCAGAAATTCTTCAATATTTTTGATCCAAGATGGACATCTTCATTATAATTATTAGGGATTGAAATATCTTTTATATAATTTTGTAATAGCTTAGATGACAGCAAGTTCAGTTTTTTATTTTGACTCAGCTACAATCCAAATTCATTCTTTTCCCCAAAATAAAAGTTACACATGTACAATACAATAAGTAGGCTTGTAATAAAAAGCTTTTGTCCCATTTCTCATAGGTGATTATTTGCTGGGAGCCATCTATGAACTATGGCTAAATTGGGCTATGTTGGACCAATTAGGCAGAAAAGCCTAGTATCAGGAACTCCCAGTAAGAATCCACTGATTCAAGAATGCCTGATTTGTGTGGTGCCCTGCTCAGGTCATTACTCAAGTTCTATCTCAGCTCCTGAGATGAGAGTGAGCCGCTGGACCCAGATAATCTCTTGAAGATGTGTGTAGCTCAAGATGGCTTGTCAAATGCCAATCAACCTCTGTACTGCAAGACTCCTGCCACAGCAGAAGCAAGAACCAAAACAAGGTTCCTCCCATTGAAACCTTACCTCTGCCTTTGATGTACTCCCTCTTAAATAAAGAATCAGGGCCTTTTTTCAATTGTTCAGTTCCAGCTCCTATCAGGACTGGAAGATCCATCAGACGCTCCACTTTAAATCTAATTTCTGAATATGTCTTTATTATTTATTGATTATTTCAGACTTTTTATTTTCTAAGGCAGATAATAGCTCCTTGGCAGGAACTGCTCTGTCATGGTGGTGCAGGCCACCTCAACGATTACTATTCAAAATAATTTTTATTTTTATTTTTTAGTAATTACTTCTATAAACTAGCACTTCTCAATGGGTGACTCTTCTAAAAGTAAAGTTTCCTTATACTATATTCCTTTTACCATCATTTCCCTAATTTTAAATAGTTTTTATTTTAATTCTGTGAGTTATTTTTGTAACTTATTCACTGTTATGAAAGGTAGTATAGTGCAGTACTTAGGAGAAAGGATCCTACAAAGCAAGACAGCCTGTGTTTCTGCTTTGTATCAGAAATTATAGAACTTAATTTATCTCTCTAAGGCTAAAACTCTGTTTTGAGAGAAAATGACAACTCTTTCTGGACTCCTTCCATGTCAAAACTACCATTAACCTGAAGACTAAAAAAATATTCTTTTGAATAATGAATGAATAGTAGAAGGAATGGATACCAGGGGAGAAGTAAAAATTGTTATAAAAATGAGAATAGTAATATAATATATCAAAGTCTCTGGGACAGTATGAAGGCAGTTCTAAGAGGAAAGTTCATAGAATTGAGTTCATACATTAAAAGAATAGAAGGGTACCAAATAAGTAATCCCAAATCCCTAGAAAAAGAAAACACAGCAACACCCAAATTGGTAGAAGACAAGAAATACTTAAAATCAGAGCTGAAATCAAAGAAATTGAGAATTAAAAAATACAAAAAATTAACAAAATGAATAGTTGGTTTGTTTTGAAAGAATAAACAAGATGGATAAATTCTTAGCTAAATGAACCTAACTCAAATTAACAAAATTCAAGATGAAAAAGGAAATATCATCAGACACTAATGAAATCCAGAAGATCATCAGAAATTATTTTGAAAATTTATATTCCAATTAGCTAAAAATATCTTGAAGATACTGAAAAATTCCTAGAGAAATTTGGCCTACCCAAATTGAGCCATGAGAATATAGAAAACTAAGATCAATATCAAGTATCAATGAAATTGAAGCAGCTATCAAAAGACTTCCAAAAAAAAAAAAATAAAAGTCCAGGTCCAGGTGAATTCTCAGCCAAGTTTTACTGGAACTTTAAAGCAGAACTAATACCAATCCTCTTCAAATTATTCCAGGAAATACAAAAGGAGGGAACACTGTCAAACTCATTCTATGAGGCCAGTATCACTCTGATACCAAAACCAGACAAAGTACATCAACATAAGAAAACTTCACACCAATATTCTTGATGAACACAGATGCAAAAATTCTTAATAAAATACTGGCACTCTGCATGTAAAAACACATTAAAAAGACAGTGCATCATGATCAAGGGGTTTTATCCCAGGAATGCAAGGTTGGTGTATCACATGGAAATCGATAAATATAATTCACACATAAACAGACTTAAGGACAAGAGTCACAGATTATCTCAACAGATGCAGACAAAGCATTTTACAAAGTACAGCACCCATTCATGTGTAAAACACTAGAAAAAATAGGGATAGAAAGAACTTACCTTAACATTGTAAAGGCTACATATCACAAACCTAAGGCCAACATTATACTGAATGAAGAAAAACGGAAAACATTTTCTCCAAAAAACAGAAATAAGACAAAGATGCCCACTTTCACCACTCCTATTCAATATAGTCTTTGAACTCTAGCCAGAGCAATCAGAAAAGAGAAGGAAATTAAAGGATACAAGTAGGAAAATAAGAGATCAAATTATCTGTTTCTATCAGTATGATTCCATATTCAGAAGACCCAAAAAACTCTACCAGAAGACTTTAAGAGTTCATAAATGAATTCAACAATGATGTAGGATACAAGATCAAAAGTCATAAATAAATCATGTTTCTATTATCTAATGATGACTCTGCTGAAAAAGAAATGAGGAAAACTATTCCATTCAGAATAGCTCCCCAAACAAAACAAAATAAAACAACAACAAAGAAACAACTTAGGAATCAATCTAACAAAAGAGGTGAAGGATCTCTACAATGAAAACTATAGAACAATAAAGAAAAAAGTTGAAGAAGACCTTATAAGATGGAAAGTCCTCCCTTGTTGTTGAATAGGCAGAATTAATATTGTCAGAATGGCTATATTACCAAAAATGCTATACAGATTCAGTGCAATTCCCATCAAAATTCCAATGATGTTCTTCACAAAATTAGAAAAAGCAGTTACGAAATTTGGAAAAAATAAGAGACCCATAATAGCCGAACAATCCTCAGCAAGAAAAATGAAGTGGGAAGCATCATTAATACTGGACCTCAAATTATACTATAGAGGTGTAGTAACAAAAATAGAATGGTATTGGCACCAAAGCAGGCACAAAGACCAATGGAATAGAATAGAAAACACAAAGTCAATTCCACATGAATAGAATTATCAGATACTATAAAAGGGTGCTGAAAAATACACTGGTGAAAAGATGACATTTTTAAACACATGAGCCTGGGAAAACTGGAAATCCATATATAGTAGAATGAAATGTAATCCCCATCTCTTACACTGCACAAAACTCAACCAAAAGTGAATCAAGACTTAGAAATTGGACCAGAAACTCTGCAGCTGTTAGAAGAAAATGAAGGCCCAACACTCCAACATTTAAGCACAGGAACTGACTTTCTTTTTTTTATTGGTTGTTCAAAACATTACAATGCTCTTGACATATCATATTTCATACATCTGATTCAAGTGGGTTATGAACTCCCATTTTTACCACATATACAGATTGCAGAATCACACTGGTTACACATCCACGTTTATATTTTGCTGCCTTTCCTATCCCCTTCCTATCCCCCCTCCCCTCTCCTCCCCTTCCATCTTCTCTCTCTACCCCATCTACTGTAATTCATTTCTCTCTCTTGTTTTTTTCCCCTTTCCCCTCACATCCTCTTATATGTAATTTTGTATAACAATGAGGGTCTCCATGAACTGACTTTCTTAACAAGAGTCTTAAAGTGCAAGAAATAAAATAAAAAATTGATAAGTGAGATGGTATCAAATTGAAAAGATTTTTTCATAGCAAAGGAAACAAGAGCATGAAGAGACAGCCTACTTAATGGAAGAAAATCTTTGCCATCTGCTCCTCAGCTAGGGCATTAATATCCAAAATATACAAAAAACCTCAAAAAACTTAACACCAAAAAAAAACCCAGATAACCCAATCAATAAAAGGAGAAAATAACTAAATAGACACTTCTCAAAAAAAGAAATAGAAAGGGTCAACAAATATTTGAAAAAATGTTCAACATTTCTAGTCATTAGGGAAATGCAAATCCAACTACATTGAGATTTAATCTCATGCTAGT